TCCTGGAGTTGTGGGTGCTCCATCACTGGAGGTTTTCAAGAAAAGATTGGACAACCATTTGCCAGACAACCATCTGCCAGACTCCTGCCTTGGGCAGGGGGTTGGACTAGAAGACCTCCAAGGTCCCTTCCAACCCTATGATTCCATGACTCTGACATTCTTACTTACATTTACTTGACTGCAACTACATCTTTTGGATGTTCTGGGAACTTATTGGGATCCCAGGGAAAGCTGTATTCATGTTCAAACCATTGGTATGCCTGTTCATCTTCAGATCTCCCAGATAAATGCCTGGAGGTCAGAGAGTATGCACGGTCCTCTTCTGTAGATTCAAGCTCTCATATATTAAGGCAAATGTCTGAAGAAGACAGCTGAGTTGCATTGTCACTATAACATTATATTGTGATTGTAGATTGGAACAATATTACATAGAACAATAATAGTTAAACATTTATTGGCTGATTTACCAAAAATTTGCTCTCATGTTACTAAAACAAGGCTATATCAAAATAGGTACCAGATTACTAAGTTATTTGTTGTTGCTGCTGTTGCAATTTGATTTCAACAGAGTAGTCACAGACTTTTGTGTAAAATCATTTTCAATGCAGCTTCTCTGCTGAGAAATAGATCTGGAGTCAAAAGAGCAGAAGTACAACCTGACTTTTTGATGCAGAAGTCAGATATATTTAGCTACATCAAATATTTATCCTCCAAATGAGGATAACACTTTCTAAAGCATGAAAACATTTGCCACAATGAAATCTGTTTCTTAGTCTTTAGTTGTCACAATACTCTTATGTTTGTTTTTGGTCTGTTGGCTTGTGCTTGGAAGCAAGTATGTTTCTGGTATGTATCAAATAAGTTCTACCATTCAAGTAATGCTATAAAGTATATTTGTGCAGCTTTATGGAAAATGAAGATCAAATATGCATGAAACTCATTTTCAGTCCTTTGTCTTTGTTTTTTCAATAAGGGACAACTACACTCTTCAGATCAATCCTAATTCTGGACTTTGTAACGAAGACCATTTGTCTTATTTCACCTTTATTGGTCGTGTTGCTGGATTGGCTGTATATCATGGCAAGCTTTTAGATGGTGAGTTGAATAAGGGAGGATAACTATAAAAGAGAGATTTAGCTTCAAAAGTACAGTGGTACCTCTAGTTACGAACGCCCCTCCTTATGAATTTTTCAAGATATGACCAGCTCCGGCCCCAAAATTTACCTCTCCTTGCGACCTCTGCCCCTACTTATGAACCGGATCCACGGCCATTTTCCCTGCTGCCACGCGGTCGCGGCTTCCTGTAGGCGAAAGCGCGGTAGCAAGGGGACGTTGGGTGAGGCTTGTGGTGTGTTTTGT